TACACAATTGATCTATGTATTGTGATGAATTGTATGAGCCCCAATAAATTGATTAATTAAAAAAAACACAAAAAAACAAAACAAACAAACAAACAAAAAAACAATGACAGAAAAAAGCCTGAAAAAAAAAAAAAAGAATTCTACCAAGGAATCACCAATGCCTTCCCCCATGGAGTTGCTATAAGGATGAAATAACAATTTTTTGAAAGCGTTTAATAAGAGCTATGCAATATTCTCGTAAGTATACTATAATAAATAAGTATACTATCTAAACTCATGTAAAGTACTTACCAGTTAAACTGATTTTTTTCCACTACCGTAGTGACAAAGTGTTTTATTCTAATGCCTGGAAGTTTCTGCTTTCAAATAGTTACAGCCTCACAGATCACCTTTGGTCAGTTTGGTACACGAATTCATTGCATGCAATCTCCAAATTACAGGTTAATGTGCTAAAAAAAATAGTGAAAGCATCACTGTTGTTTCTCAAGTTTTTCTTAAAAGGCACTTTAAATTGTGTCAGATAACATGATATTGGGTTGACTCTAAGACAACTCTAAGTTGTCTCGTGGGAGAAACACATCACACCATTAACACATTAAGTAAAACTTGCAGCTCCTGTTAGACAAAAACTAACAAACAAACAGACAACTCACTGCCATCAAGTCCATGCTGACTCATACCAGCCCTACAGGACAGGGTATAACTGGCCCTGTGGGTTTCCACGACTTCAACTCTAAACGTGCAAAAAAGAACCACAAAATATTTTGTAACAAAAGCAAGAATCGCATAAATTCTGAACCTACCTTTCAGAGAAACTCTGTTTTCAACTTCTTTCCAAGTTTAATGGCTCCTATTAGCACATAACATTTAGGTTAAAGTTTTAGAAATTTGGCAAATTGCAAGGACAGGAAATTTATTTTCCAGAACAAGCACAGCATGAAGTAGTGACATTTATGGGGATAAATACTTTCAATTGTGAGAAAATCCCATGACATAAAGACTGCATAGTAAACATTAAAGTAGTCTATTTTAATATAACTCTAAATGTGATACTTAAAGTATTTACTTCATTTTATTTCTGAAGTATGAATATTGTTCTGTTTATAATAAAAAGTAAATAAGAAAAATAAACACAATAACAAAAATTCATTTGTCTTTAATGTTACTTAGTAAGTATGGTATATACACAAATAGGTTCACAAATAGCACATGTACAAGTAAACAAGTTTATTAAGATTTTGGACAAAAATGAAGAACAAGCACAAAACCCCGAGCCAAATCGTTTTATATTGTATCACATTAATGAAGGGAGGCACTTAAATATGGGTTCTGGTAGTCTCGAATTTAAAAACATGATGCTATAGCACAGTTCAATTACTTGGTGCACCTTTTCTATCTATAGACTTCATTGCTCCTGCTAAACGACGGGGTAGAAGTATGTGCATGGGCCGTGTGAAACTCTAACACAGTTCTTCTGGCCATTCGACTGGCAGCAAAGTGAGCCATATCAGAAGTGGGAATGAGAGGAATCTGAGGCTCATGAGGAAAGAAAAGTCACAAGAGGAGCACTGGCTTCAAAAGTGGACTTCACCCTTCCTGCACAGAAAGACAGTGACAGCAAGGTGGCCTACTGACAGCATGAGACAGAAGACTGGGCTTCTCAACCCACAGAATGAGGAAGGCTGAGTGTCTTTGAGCAGGAGGCTGGCTAGCAGCCGGAGGTGCTCTATGGGTAGTCATTAGTAATCAAGTGGTTTTCTAACACGTCTGAGCGAGGCAAATGGCAAGAATCTGAGTAGCTGAGAAGACAAGGTCCAGAAAGAGATGCCCTTAAACTCCAATGTTTTATGTTTAAAACTGAAAATTTTAAAATATACAACTTACGTATTTACACACATATTTATACTGTTTTTGGTTATAGTTGATGTGGTAGTTATATAATCATTTGTCAATTTGAGAGAATTAAGAGTGAAGGGGTGGGGGCTAGCCTGTCAATCAGGTGATAGCCAATGAGGCTTCTGTGTAGGTACAGCCTTTTCCTGAGGATTCTGGGAACTGCAGTATTCCTCCTTGGAAGCAGGAGACTCTCTCTCTCTTTCTCTCTCTCTGCCCTGATTCTCTGCAAGACATCCCTGTGGAGAAGACACATGGAGAGAGGCTAATGGAGCTAGACCTCTGGAACGGGAGAAGTCACATAGAGACCCCTGCCAGTGCTGAGATGCTTATAATGCCACTGGATCCACTAGACTTTCCACCCACTGGTCTGTGATCTCCCTGCATTTGTCGTCATTGCATGTGTTTCATGAGTCTGAGGAGGACTTTATATATTGGTATCAGACATATGGGCTAATATCTGACTTATGGACTTTATCTGGACTGGGCTGGGACATTTTCTCAATATTCAATTGCTCTTGTATAGGAACCTCTTTGTTTACACATATGAGTGCCTATGAATTTTGTTTCTCTGGTCTACCCAGACGAACACAGTTGATCAATTAACCAGGTTGTTTTTGAACATAAATCTCTCTACTAGATGTTGTGGCCAGTTTTTTGAGGCCAAAATTTCGAGTTTCCTCAGACCTGAGGGTCCCATCTGGCAACAGTATCTCCAACAATGTTGTGCTTCCTTTGCTTAGGCTTTCAGTATTTGAAAATGCTTTGGAGCTATGCATAAGCTTTTCAGCAGCTTCTTCCTCTGAAGTGCGGAGCCAAGTCCATTTGGGTTCTCTATTCTTAGTCTGGAAGCTCCACTGAAACCTATTCATGTTGAGTGACTCTGCTGGCATTTGAAATAACCAGAGACATAGCTCCCAGCATCGTAGCAACCCACTAGCCACCACCCACATACAACGAATTGACACAGACAAGTGGTGTCCAAAAATAAGTTAGCCAAAAACAAGGTTCAGGAATTGACAGAATACCCACTGAGACATCAGAAGGCTGAAGAACTCCTAGAAGCACTCACTCATCTATGCCAGGAAAATTGGAAGACAGCTACCTGGCCAGGTGACTGGGAGAGATCCATTTTGCTGCCCATGCCTAAGGAAGGTGACCCAACAAAATGCTCACAGTATAAAAAGTTATCACTGGTAGTGGCACACAAGTAACATTTTCTTTCTTTTTTATTAAACAGGGAAGAGCGCGAATGCAGTCCCACACTACCACAAACCATGCAGTCAAGTTTCCCGCATTTGGGGAAATCGCAGGGTCAGCACATCCGGAGTGCAATGGATAAGCCCCACCCTGGGAAGACCACCTTTGTGATCATAGTATCTGCCCTGCAGGTAAGTATACACAAGTAAAATTTTGCTTAAGATCACCCAATATGACTTGCAGCACTACCTTGACAGGGAACTGGCAGAAGTTCAGGCCAGATTCAGAAGAGGACCTGGAACAGAGGATGTCATTGCTGATGTCACATGGGTCTTAGCTCAAAGCAGAGAATACCAGAAACATGTTTGTTTGCGCTGCATTGACTATGAAAAGGCATGCAGCTATGTGGACCATCATAAATGGTGGATAACATTTAGAAGAATGGGAATTCTGGACCACATCGTTGTGCTCATTCAGAACTGGTACCAGGATCAAGAGGCATTTATCTTAACAGAACAAGGGAACACTGCATGGTCTAAAAATCAGGAAAAGTGTGTGTCAGGGTTGTATCTTCTCTCCACACTTATTCAAAATGGGGGATGATCAAACAATCAGAGAAACTGGATTATGGGAAGAAGAATGCCATGTCAGGATCAGAGGAAGGCTTATTAACAACCAGTGGTATGCAGGTCACACAACGGTGCATGCAGAAAGTGAGGACGAATTTAAGTACCTGCTAATGAAGATCATGGATTGCAGCCTTCAGTATGGATTACACCTCAATGTAAGGAATGCCAAAGTTGTCACAACTGGACCAATAGGTAACATCATGATAAATGGAGTAAAGGTTGAAGTTGTCAATGATTTTGTCTTACTTGATACGCCATCAGTGTTCATGGGAGCAGCAGCAAAGAGATCAATAGAAATAATGCATTAGGTAAATATGCTGCATATGACCTCTTTAGAGTATTGAAGAGCACAGATGTTACTTTGAAGAATAAGATGCACGTGACCCACACCATGGTATTTTTCATTGCATCATATAAATGTGAAAGTTGGACACTGAATAGGACAGACCATAGAAGATGTGATGCACGTGAATTGTGGTGATGGAGAAGAATATTGAAAGTACCATGGACTGCTAAAAGGACAAACTGACTTGTACTGGAAGAAGTAAGGCCAAAATGTTCCTTAGAGGCAAGGCTGGCAAGATTCATCTGACATGCTTTGGACATGTTGTCAGGAGAGACCAGTCCCTGAAAAGGAACATTATCTTTGGTAAAGTGGAGAAAGGGCAACAAAATGAGGAAAGATCTTGTATTAGTCTAGGTACTTTGGAGAAACAAATCCACAGCAACTCGGGTTAGGTCCATGTAGCTTCTCCTTGGGGATGTCTTGTAGGAAGACAATCTTGCAAGCTGAAGCAGGGAACTGCTAAGGCAGCTGCACCTGGTGCAACCATCACAAAACAAGAGACCTGAGAACTAGAAAGGTGAGGCTCACCACCCATTTATCCCTCCGCCTTTCAATTAGCCCCACATGTGATTATCGGCCAGGTTGGCATAATTAACTAATTCAGATCTCAATGAGTTGGATTGACACAGTGGCTACGTCAATGGGCTCAGACATAGGAACAATGGTGGGGATGGTGCAAAACTGGGCAGTATTTCAGTCTGCTGGGCATAGTGGCATTTTGGGTAGGAGCTGACCTGATGACATCTATCAACAACAACATATATTTGTATATATTCAGCCATATTATTGAAAACGCATTACAAATTTTGTTCGTTGACCAAATTTTGTTGGGTCAACTAAATTAGTTGTTGCCTGCCTTCTACTCCAACATTCTCCTGAGACTGTGTTTTTGTTATTTTGTTCTAATTGATCAACTCACCAACTTGTTTTCTAAGACCAATCTCTCTAATTTTTGAGGTCAATTTTATGTGTCCTGCTCTTATATACTGGATCAGAATATAAATTATATTAAAAAATGAAAACAAATTACTTTAGCTTTATATTCCTCTCAGCTACCATCTTCCCCTTCCCTTTTTATAGTAAAAGACCTCAAAATAATCACTTCTGCCTTC